TTCACCTTCATAAATTTGGTGAAAGGTCCTTCTTCAAGGACTTCCCACATTTCATCATGAAGAGCGCAGAGGTGTGCTTTCATTCTGATCTTCCAGTCATCATACTTCTGATCTGAAAACATGAGGTGCTTTGCAAGAGAGTTTTCCATAATAAGTATTAAGAGAGGCTAAGAACAAGTGGATCTTTGTTCAAGGAGTAACCTAAGAGATTACAAGAACAAGGAGGCTCTGATACCACTTGTTGGTCCCGTTTAATATTGTAATCAGTCTAGAGGGGGGGGGGTGAATAGACTGATTGGTTTTTCAAATTTTCTCTAAGTCCAAAGCGACTTATCAGAGAAGGTCTGATTCTGGTGACAGAGAAAGGCTGGTTCTGATATCAGAACTAGCCTTGGCAGCGGATTCTGATCTGTCCGGGTAGCCTCAGAAACACTAAGGCAAATGCCTTTCTGATGACTCTGAGAACAAGATCTGCTGAACACAGATTCCAAGTCTTAGAGTTAATCAGTTAATATCCTAAGTGCAGAAATATAAATTGCAGTAAAGTAAATGACACAGGATATTTTTATAGTGGTTCAAGGAACAACGCGTTCCTCTAGTCCACTGTTCCACTAGCTTTGAAGTAGATCGATTACAAAGCTAATCCCTAGCACTTAAGAAGTTCTCCACGCCTTCTTCAAGCCTAGTTGTCACCCGGGATGCAGTCCTGCTTCCTGATGACTGGTCCTTTCACTCAGCTTCCCGGAAGTATCACCACTCCACTGCTGCAGTTACTTGGACGCCCTTCTTTGCAGAAGATGTTTTGAGAACAGAGTTTTCTCCAACTTGCTTCGTTACAAAAGATGTGTAGATGAAGATCTTGAAGTGTTGAAGAACAGGATGAACTTTGCTCGTTGTTGGGGATGAAAGATTTGGAGTTTGAATCTTCCCAACGTAGAACTTTTCTTGTAGAGTGTTATGAAGGTTGAATCTCAAGAAGTATGTTCAGAGTAATGAATGGAGCAAAAGTTGTGCTAAGAGCCTTGTGTCCTGTTCTTCGGTTTGTAGCTTATATACTGGGGTTGTCTGCCCGTTGGAGGAGGAGACAACTGCATTGAATGCGCGTACTGTTGACTTGACCGCCGTTTTGGAAGGTTTCTATTTTTATAATATATCTTCCCGGATTCCTTGGTCAATCATTTGCAATCAATCCTTCAGCGTATCAGGCTCATTTAATGTGCATTAAATGCTTTCCTTTCATGCACAGTCTTCTAGCCGTTGGATGTTTTTACCCGTTGGATTCATAGCTGTTGGATGTTGCTTGAAATCTTCTAAGTGTTAGTCGGGCTCTGATCAGGATCTTCTGATGTGTTGGATTCTGATGACTTTCTGAGTTCTGATGGCTTTCAGATGAGTTGAGTTCTGACGGCTTTCTGATCTCTGACTGAACTCTAACTCTGACTCTGATAGGTCCGCTGATGAGTACCTCTGATCTGTAACTCTCATCGGTTATCAGATGTCCCAATTCATCAGCAACTCTCATGGTGCAACTCTGATGGACTTCTGATAAGAGAGCTCTGATGGAGCAGTTCTCACAGAGCAAGTCTGGTCGAGCAATTCTGATGCACTACTGATCTGATCCAAAGCAGAGCAACTCTGATCGTCGACTACACTAATACTTACAATTGAAAATTCTAATACATAAAATCTAATTGGGGGTACTCTAACTTTCTAATCCTACAGCATCATCAAAATCTAATTACATTTATTCCTTACAGCTGTTGATGACAAGAAGATAGAAGCCATTACCGAATGGGAGAGGCCAAAGAACGTCAAGGAAATTCGTAGTTTCCTTGGGTTGGCAGGCTACTACAGGAAGTTCGTGGAGAAGTTCTCCGTTTTGGCATCACCATTGACAAAGCTCACTCGTAAAGGAGCTAAGTTTGTATGGGATGACAAATGTGAGGAAGGGTTCATTGAACTAAAGAAGAGATTGACCAAGGCACCGGTACTTGCATTACCCAAACAGGGTATGGGGTACGATGTCTATAGTGACGCGAGCATCCAAGGGTTTGGATGTGTGTTGATGCAGGAGGGGAGGGTAATTGCCTATGCTTCACGACAGTTGAAGAAGCATGAGGTAAATTACCCTACCCATGATCTAGAGTTGGGAGCAGTGGTGTTCGCACTGAAGATTTGGAGGCATTATCTCTACGGGGAGACATGTCACATATATACTGATCATAAGAGCTTGAAATACGTGTTTACTCAGAAAGAGTTAAACATGAGACAGAGACGGTGGATGGAGTTGATAAAGGACTACCATCTAGTTATTGAGTACCATCCTGGTAAGGCAAACGTTGTAGCAGATGCCCTCAGTCGGAAGAGTTCGTCTGGGGCATTGCTGACTAGTTTGAGGGCACTGAGGGCCCAATTGGATGTATCTAGCGATGGTGCCTTATTGGCACGATTTGAGGTGAGACCTACGTTACTTGATGAGATCAAGAAGGGTCAGGAAACTGACGAAGAAATTATGAAGATCCGGGAACGCATACAAGCGGGACCGGTGGAGGACTTCAGAGAAAGAGATGACGGTTCTTTTGCGATGGATAGGGCTTCAGGTGGTGCGGTGATAAGATCTACAACAGGTGAATTGGCGGCGGCTATTCATTTCCCGATTTCAGCCAACTCGGTGAAGGAAACGGAGCTCTTGGCGATTTACACATCTGTTCTTTGGGCGACTGAGCATGGCTATCGGCCGCTGGAGGTGGAGTCTGATTCCAAGATTGCGTTGGAGGAAATTTCAGATGGAGTATTGGAAGGTAAGTGGAAAAAGATTTTGGAAGATATGAGAAGATGGAAGATCGATTGGCATATTATTTTCAGACAGATACCGCGAGAAATTAATTGGATGACGGTCTCTTATTATTTCGTGACCGAGTGTGTGTACCGGCAGATGATGAGCTCCGAAAATCCATCTTAGAGGAAGCTCATTCATCGGCTTATGCCATGCACCCGGGGGGCACGAAGATGTACCGTGACTTGAAGGAGAGTTACTGGTGGTCGGGTATGAAGAGAGAAATAGCCGAATATATCAGTCGATGCCTTACTTGTCAACAAGTTAAGGCAGAACATCAGCATCCAGCAGGCTTATTGCAACCACTTTCCATTCCTGAATGGAAATGGGAACACGTGACTATGGATTTTGTGGTAGGTTTACCACGAACAATCAGGAACTATGATGCAGTTTGGGTTGTGGTAGATAGGCTCACGAAGAGCGCACACTTCTTGCCTATCAACATTACTTACCCACTTGAGAGGTTAGCCAAATTGTATACGGATGAGATCGTGAGGCTGCATGGGGTCCCAGTGACCATTGTATCTGATAGAGACCCACGATTCACATCACGTTTTTGGCCAAAATTTCAGGAGTCTATGGGAACGAGGTTGAAGTTCAGTACTGCTTTCCACCCACAGACGGATGGGCAGTCTGAAAGAGTCATACAGATCCTAGAAGACATGCTGAGGGCTTGTGCATTGGAGTTCCAAGGAAGTTGGGACAACCACTTAGCACTTGTGGAGTTTGCCTATAACAACAGTTATCAGGCAAGCATCGGCATGCCTCCATACGAGGCATTATATGGGAGGAGGTGTCGTACACCGTTATGCTGGGATGAGGTTGGCATGGCCAAACTCGAGGGTACTGAGTTGGTTGAGGTCACCAAATCAAAGGTGAAGTTGATTCGAGAGAGACTCAAAGCAGCTCAGGATAGACAAAAGAGTTATGCAGATAAGCGTCGAAGAACCTTAGAGTTTAAGGTTGATGACGAGGTATTCTTGAAAGTTTCTCCTTGGAAAGGGATCATTCGATTCCAAACCCGAGGAAAACTTAACCCACGATATATAGGTCCATTCAGAATTATAGAGAGGATTGGGGTCGTAGCATATCGTCTACAGTTGACTCCTGTGTTAGAGAAGATACATAATGTGTTTCATGTATCCATGCTTAAGAAATATGTGCATGATCCCTCTCACGTATTGGAAAAGCCGCCTGTGGAGGTACGTGAGGATTTGAACTACGCGGTGCAACCAATCAGGGTCACCGACAGGAAGGTGAAGAAATTGAGGAGTAAAGAAGTCCCAATGGTGAAAGTTCTTTGGAAGAGCGATCGGGTCGAAGAAGAGACATGGGAGACAGAGGCTTTGATGAGGAAGCAGTATGCTTTCCTATTCGAGTAGAGCTGTGAATTTCGGGGACGAAATTCCTGTTAAGGGGGGGTGAACTTGTGACACCGCACCCGAACGTCCTCATTGAAGAATGCAATTTAAGATTTAAGGCTATGTATTTAAAACAATTGATGTTTTACGTAGTGCATGTTTGAATATCGTACGATGCAAACTCGTACATTAGTGTCGGGTTTTGCAAATACTTATTCGGGACTTATTAGTAAATAAAAGAGCCCAACATTATCAAGATAAGTGATAGGATGATTAGAGAAGAATACAAATGCCTATAGTCCCATCTTTGACATTATTGAGCTAAATAATGGGAGTAGGACTTTTTCCTTCTATAATATCCATCAAGTAAATTATTGAGATGAGCCTACACATATTGGAGATCAATAATGTGATGTAGGAAGTTGACTTGTTCTAAATAAATTAGGATAAGTACAAAAAGACATCTTTTGACAAAAGATAAAACAATAGGACCCATCTTCCCATTTTTTGGAAGTATTGGTAGATATTTTGGACCCCAAAATAATTGGGACCAATGGGGAACCACTCCACATGATATTAGTACCTGCAAGACAAATAAAAATGGGTGAGGAGACTTACCTTGGCCGACCACCATGGAGAAGAGCTGCACAAGACTTGATAGGAATCAAATGTTGGGTCACCATCTCTATTTTTCGCACAAAATGGTGTGTTGTTTGTCTCCACTCATTATGGGAGTTATACTCGACCAAACAACGTGTATAAGGTGTCATTGGATAGATTTTGAAGTCTATTTTCATAATTGAGTGGTCTCTGTTCGAGAGGAGAGAGTAATCATCCAAAAATCGATCTGGAGCGAGCAGTGGTCTGTAAACTCGAGCTCTGAGAGTGCTGAATCTGTTTGGTGGATATCTCGAGTTATACCAATCCAATTAAGGCGTGTGAGATACCAAAAGAAAGCTCTCAAGACGAGGAATCCGTGAAGGTCTGATTTGCATCAATCGGAGTAGTGAAAGGCTTCCAAATCGTCCGAGCAAAACACAACCTCGCGGAAACGGATCTACTCTTCTAAAGTGAGTTGTTAACCCCAAAACCTTTCCTTTCATTTTCCAAATGATATGAACGATTGGTGGAACTATTGTACACTAATACAAGTGTATAATATGTCCTTGAAAAGTTATTTAATTGATGTAAAGGTTAGATACTAACCTAGAGTAAATCTTGGAAAAACTAGGAGACGAGTTTACCGGAAAACACCCATTCTAGGGGCTGTTTTCGTATCAACGTTTGAGGGTGAGCTAGCACTTTGGGGAGGCGGTTTAACACTCATATTTAAGCAAGGAATCAGTTCTTAATCCACCGTGGCCAAAGCTTTGACCATTGGATCAAGAAGGAAAAGTTTAAAGCTCAATTAAGGTGAGGATTGACATCTAATTGCTTACAACTTGTAGGTTAAGCATGAGATTACCTAAATGCTTAAATCATTATTTTTCATGGATTATGATGATTATATATTGATGAAATATTGATATAGTTGCCAAAGAATGAAATTTTAAATGATTTGAGAATGTATGAATATTATGAGATTAAATGAGTATAAATGAACTATTTTGTGAAATAGGCATTTTGCTCATGTATGAATTATGTGGTTACATAAACGAATATTTGTGTATTGAGATTGAATACTTAAGTTGCTGCTACATAACTATAAATATGTAGAGAATTACAAATAATGAGGATAATGGTATGATAACAATAATCTTAATAGTATTGAAATATTATTTAGTGATTATTGGAACTTGTTGATTAAATTGATCCTAGGGATTGGATTGTATGAAAGGTACTTGAATATAGTTCAAGTGTATCTAATAACTTAGTATGGAACTAAGGTTAAGTTATGGGAAGTCTTTAAGGATGACCCATGGTAGTTTAATGATATGTCAATTCTAGGCATAGGGTTGCTTGAGAATTGGACCTTAATGCATGGTGATGTGATAGAGCCGAGCTATAGAATGCATGTAAGGTGTAGACTTGGAGTCTATGTATTGTATAGCTAGAGCCGAGCTCTAGGACTTGCGTGGTGATGTGATAGAGCCGAGCTCTAGAACGCAAGGTAGGGAAATTGACCCGAGGTATATGAATTGTATGGTGATGTGGTAGAGCCGAGCTCTAGAATACAATGTCATGTACTACGGTTGGACTCTAGGAGTTGTTGTGGCTTATAGTCACGGGGTTGGGAATGGTGATTCCCAAATGAACATGGGCCCACGGGCCGACTACTTGACTTTTATATAAAGTAAGTATATTTTTAAACGGGGTAACTTAGGGTTACAATCATAATGTACTATCACCCCATTTGAGGGTCTTGTGTTTGAAATACTTGTTGTATATCTATTAGATGCCTGCCACACCAGTACTTTATAGCCGTATAGAGTACTGACCCCTTCGGGGGCGTCCCACCACCATTTCAGGTTGAGGCTAGAGCTTGCTTCCTGTGCTCGTTGCCCGAGTGATTTCCCCCGGAGAGAAGACTTGGTTCGTGCTTCCTCCATTCTGTTTTAGAACATAAATAAACATGCTCATGGATATTTTACTTTAGAGCCTGCGTGCTCATGTTTGCCCTGGTGGCCCTTTTGTTTTAAATAATGTTTTCTGCTGCGTATTGAATTGTTTATTATGTATGTTTATGGATGACTTATGTGTGAATGATATTCATGACGCCTTGTATAATATGAATGTGTTGGACTGCGGTTGACTATTCGTATTGTACGGCGGGTTGTTGACGTGTCCGGGGAGGTCCGGGGCGTGACACAATAAGTGTCTGTCTCCTAAGCACGCCGGACATGACAAGTGCAACAAGCAAATACTTCAAATCTTTCACGGGATCGCCTTCGACAAACAGTATGACATGGCCCAGCTCTTCTTGACGGAGCTGATGGATCAAGTGAAGATGAAGGAGAATCATAAGGGCAACACAATTCCTTACGCTCGGTGGCTGGCGCTGATCATCCACAACATTATGGAGGCCACCCCGACAATGCCAAAGCGTAAGGAGGACAAGCATTTCACCGCCCCAAAGCTCAAGTACTTTCAAAGAGACAGCAACAAGGCTGAAGCACTGCCTATCCCGGACTCTTTGCTCAATCTAGCAAACCCGAAGGACAAGGCAGTCATTGACTATAAAGAGTCACTAAAGAGAACGGTTCCTATGGTTCAGCAAAACCCAGCTAGACCTTCCCCGGGAACCAAGCCGAGAGCGAGTGAGGGTAAGAAGAAGAGAGCCCCGCCACAGAAACCAGTGGCAACCCGGCCTAATGATGATCAGTCTGCTAACTCTTCCGAGAGGACTCAGACTGCTGAGGGCCACCCTATCAATGCTGAGGACACTGCCGATGAACCATCAAGCCAGGCCCCTTCAAATAAGGCTGGTGGTGAGGCCTCCGATAGCATGGCCAAGGGAAATGAACGGAATGATGATGATGATGATGCAGATGATGATGATGACATGGAGAGAGTCCTGATGAGCAACAGGAAAAGAGCTAGAAAGAGAGCCATTTCGATAGACTTCGACTCCTCATCGGACAATGAAGAGGCTGCTCACATGTCCCGACCACTTAAGGGCATTGTCATCAGTGAGCAGCGCTCAAAGCAGAAAAGTGACAAATCTGCATCATCACAGCCTAAGAAGAGGCTAAGAAAGAAGAGTGCAGTGGAAGAGGAGCTGGCACTGTACGATGACTGCGACACATTCCTCACTATAGACCGAACCACGCCCCTAGGAGCAGGAGCTGACCTTTTCAGTTCCCGGGTAGAAGTCGCAGCATCCGGTTCAACTGCGCATGCACAGCCATCTCCCAGCCACTCTCCAGCCTCCCAACAGGCTGGAGTTTCAATAACTCAAGGGGAATGCATACCGACCTCGCTGGTTCCCTCCGAATCAGTTGAGAGACTTAGTGGTCAACAACCCCGGACCACTACCCCCATTCGTTCTATCACATGGAGTCTAGGTGTCACCATTCCTACATTTTCACATTTCTCTAGGACACCTACACTATTCACTGCACATACAGGTGCACTCACCCTGAATGCAACGACCGGAGTGCAAACTATGATGGTCGGAAGCCCTGCTACGCCAACAATGCCTCGATCATTGAACGCATGCCACACATCAGCTATCTTCACTGATGCTGTGACAACAGTTACAACCCCTGTAACTGGTACCACCATTCCCGAAGACATTCTCGTATATCTGAACAGCTTTCTAGAGTCTACCATTAACCCATGGGTGCATGAAGCAATAACCGCTAATGCACAAGACTCTGGAAGTACCCCAGTTGTTCAGGATATACCACCCAAACCTCAAACAACACAGCCCCCAACCATTTCCATTCCTACTTCCAAACCCTTAGCCATAGAAAACCAACAACCATCCACATCAAGGGGAACCCAGGATACAGAACTAGTATTCTCCCCTACAACGACCAAACCCAATCTAACAACCGTACCCTTCGAGGATCTTGTAGCTGAGATCTACGACCGTATACTAGACGTGGAAGAAGGCAACCTCACCCCTCTTCAAAAATCCCTTCTCCATGCTCTAGATACACAGAACACATGCCGTGACAGTCTCCGTGGCGCTAAACGTTCACATGAGGATCCCGATGATTCGGATTCTCATGAGGGGGAGAACAAGCGCCAGCGGATACTTGAGCATGTTGCTTCTACTAGCCAACCCTCAAAACCAAACCAACCCTCCACCTCTACCAACGAGCAACCCACTACTTCAGCTAGCCATAAATCCCTAGCCACTCTCTCTAGCATGGTCGAGCTAGACATAACATCTCGAGGCGCATCTCCTATAGATGTTGACCAAGGACGGAATGGAAGTCCTGATGATGCTACCACGAGTACATCTTCCTACTCAGGCCATCAGCTAGAACCTAGTTCGAAACTGATGTCAACGGGCAATCCTGAGGATCCCGGTGTTTCACACGACAAGTCACCTTCGACACAGCAACAAGCTCCCTCTGAACCCTCTGCCAATCCAATACAAGATGAACTTGAAGATCTTCTAGTTCATGATCAATGGCCCCACAAGTGGACAGAGTGGGATGATCTTAGAGTGGAAGCCGATCAGTACGAAAATGTGTCGAAGCTGGCATCTCAGAGAGTTCCTCAACAAATACCATGCAATGATGATAGGGCTCGATAAAGATGAACTCAAGGAAGGAGAGATTCAAAAAGAAAACCCCACGGAACCAGAACCAGCTAAGAAAAAATGGGAAATCATAAGAATCAAAGCCCCCTTTCTAGAAGAAATCCGAGAGAGAATTTGGCGACGACCAGAAAAGGTCAAGCAGTTCAATGAATTAAAAATGCGAGGAATCAATCACCTGAAAGGAAAATACAGAGGAGGAAACCTATATATGCTAGGACACAGATCCACAGGGGAACGTCGACAAGTTCTAAATCACAATCTTGCAACAAGTGGATGTCCCATAATAAAAATCATGGAGATCACTGAAGATTACTTGGAGACAATTAAGTTCATGATCTTTCGTCTACGACGTACTGATGGCTCGGAGTTCACCTGTCAAGAGAATGACTTCTTTCTACTACACATGGATGACATTTATCAAATGTTCATGAGATGCAGGGAGCTTCCAGTTCACAAAGACAGACTTGCTAAAGAAGGCTTCGAAGCTATAAAAAGATTCATGACAAGACAAGTTCGGTTCTACGCCTCTCATGACCTCCAGATGACCCTAGAGCACAACTATCCAAAGGCAAACCTTACAAGACCGGACTTGAGTAGACCTGGGCTTGAATCCTTTGAAGCATATCATATCTTTGACAACCCAGTCTCTGTCATCTATCTGAATCATAACAACGAAAAGCGTCTAATGTTCGTGGATGAAATTAACAAGTATTGTGACGGAACTCTGAAGATCATCCAGGAGCAGCTCCGATCAAAGAAACAAGAACTTGGACAAAAATCGACCGAAGCCACTGAAGAAGACCAGAAGGAATTACACAGAATTGACAACATCCTACAGGCTATCAAGAATCAACTGGATAGAAGAAATTCACTAAGAAATTATGAGCATGCACTTAATCTCAGAAAGAACTATTACAAAGCTCAGAAGTGAAGAAACCCAGCAAGACGGCACTTGACCACAAAGGGGGAGATTGTTAGAACTTTTATTGTGGGTCAAGTTTGTCTGTAATGTCTTGTTTAATAAAGTAGACTAGTTATACCATTTATGGTATTAGATTAGTAATTATAATGTAATAAATAAGGTAAAGGGAATAAGGCCCAAAAAGGCCTTGGCCCAACTTCCAAGGTTTACCTAAATCGGTAACCTGTACAGCGCCTATAAATATGCGCCTTGTGTACAGGTACCAAAATCGATCAATACACATTTAGCCTTACGCTGCCCAAAATAGTTCTCGATACATCAGAAAGAAGAATTCCTCTGTTCTCGACATTGTTTGATCATTATCAGATCTTCTTTCTTTCTGTTTATCGATGATATCCATCTAGCTGGTCGTTAGTCTGCATAAACTGGGACCAACAACGATTTTCTGTGTTTCTTGTGTTGTTAATTATGTATATAGTGTTGATTCAGTTGTATAATGTTGATAAAGATTGTATGTGGTATTGTGTACTCAGATGCATCCTAGAAAAAGGAGTGGAAAATCTAAGAAAAAGCAGACTCATGCAAGTGATGATATACATGATGGTGTTGGGGATAAGAGAGCTTCTAATGTCCAACCATTTGATGAAGCCAATCTAGTAGATATTAACATGGTTTGTGCAGAGGATTCATCATTTGGAAGTGACGTGCCTATTGTTGTGTCTGTAGAGGAGATTGGTATGTTCACACAACCGACACAAGACACCCAAGGCACTACTATGGTCACTAAAGAAGGGCAAGAGGGTGAACTTCTGAATCAGCAAGAGAGTGAAGAAGAGTGTGAAGAAGTGAATCAAGAAGAGAGTGAAAAAGAGAGTCCAGAAGAGAGTGAACAAGACTACAAGAGAATCAAGAAGAGATTGAAGAAGAGAATCCAGAAGAAATTGAAGCAGAGAATCCAGAAGAGATTGAAGAAGAGAGGCAAAAAGGGATTGAAGAATAGAAGCAAGATCAAAGTCATGAAGAGATTGAAGAGGAGAGGCATGAGGTTCAAACGAGGACTACACATGGGATCAGGATTAGCTTTGGGCCACCCCCTTGTGTAAAACCCAAACTGAAAAAGCTAGAAGTAAAAAAAGGACCAAGATATGCCACTAGATAAAAAACAACATTCAAATCTGTTTTCTTTGGGAATGATGATGTCCCAATTGACTTAGAGTAGGGGTTGATGAACTTCATGTAATGGTTGATGCCCCATTTTGTTTTCTGACTTAGACTAATGGTTCATGCCCCAATCTGTTTTCTTTGAGAATTATGATGCCCCAATATTTTTGGTGTTATGTATTGCTGTTAAACACTTATACATTTGGCCTCTTAATGGTTGTAATTTGGTTGTCATGTATGAGGTACATGTTTTTGTTAGATGTTTGTGTAGGGTGAACTTTTTGCGATATCATGTAAAGTGAAACTGATGCTTTCAATCAATGTTTGTGTATGGAGTACATGTTTCTATACCATTTCAGTTTATAAGTATGTCTTTGTAACATGGTTTATAAGTGTTAGATGTATTTGTAACATGGATTAAGTTTGTATTTGTAACATGGTCTTTATAATAAGTATATATGGCAGTAACAAAGTTCATTGGTCTTATTTTCAATCCAAAGCAGATATATCATATATTATGATCCAAACATCATTACTAAATCATAACAAACATTACAAGATCACACCAACCATGACGCCATTGTATTATTGTTTCTCAAATGCATTTGTAACATACTCAATACTATCAACTTAGTACAACAACATGATCACACCTCTTGGGTGCATCTAAACCATAACAAACATTACACAACTTAAGCACTACAAATACATTATTTGGCGTTCATATACATGGATACAAATACAACAACAACTGCCATTATGCAGACCAATGCTTTTAAGCCTTGCATATGTAATATATCAAGCTTCATCTCCAATGCACTGATTTTTTCCTCATACTCATTGATCTTTTTCAAAAGACTAGGAATTATTTTTTGAGACCTCTTGCACATTGGAGGGTCAAACCACTCCATCAAACCACAACCTTCAAATGTCTCCAAAAACAACATTTAACCATATTTTGTTAACTGTATATTGCAATCAAACATTTATTCATAAAAAATGGGGAGACATGTACTACATTGAACATATATACAACAATCAACACAAACAACATAAACCCTACTTTCAATGCATTTCCAAAACCTTCTCCCACTATTCTTCGGTTTCCATGTTGTCAAAAGTTTCAATTGACGACCACATTCGCAATAGGTGACTGGAATCCACTCGCCATATTCGTATTGACCAACGGAATTCGAACTTCTACCTTTACGAGTAGACATTGCCGCTTCAAGGCGTGGTGAGAGTGAAGGCCTAAGCTTATATTAGGTTCCAAACAATTAGGGTTCCAAATTTGAAAGCCTCAGCTGCATTTCAGATGACATGCGACGGAGATGAAGGATGTTAGGTAGAAGGAAGTTAAATGATAATAAATGACCCAACTACCCTCTACCTTTAACAGGTTTAATAAAAATAGCCGGAAGGACGACAGGTGGTAAGGGAGAAATGGTCACGGATTTAAGGTTTAGGGTTTAGAGTAAAAGGCAATCTGAGAGTAAAGGACTAACTGTGAAAGTGGTATAATAGTCATGAGACCAAAAGTGAAATTTTTTCTTTTATTAATAAAATATATTTTAAATATATTTTTTCATAATTAAGCACAACCAGTCAATCTAGTCGGTTCAATCAAAACTTAATGAATTTCAATGAAACCCGTCAATTCAATTAATTTGGGTGTTATCAAAGGGAGTCTAAATTTTGAGTATGACGAAGAAATACTCGTGAGAAATACTGCAATTCTATATAATTACTGCAAAGACTATTTTATTATTATTATTATGATTATTATAAACGCTTTTAGATACAAATTTGATTTGTTACTAAAAACTGAAAAGAATCGGCTGAGGATGGCTAAAATATATTCCAACCAAACCCAGTTGGCAATGTTATCATGAAACATCCATCCAGCTTTGCTGTTGCTGTCATTTCCTTCACTCCCTTCTTAGCTTTCCAGTTCCGTAGGCCCTTCAATTTCCGTCGCATGTGCCTCTTCCCTTTTCTGATTTTTTTAGCATTTGGACCTTGCACCCATACCAAAATTCACACTCCGCATCACATTTTTTTAATCTATACGTTATAATCTGTACCACATATTTTTCGTTTGTTTGTTAAATACCATTGAAAACAAACTCCAAAGCAGGGTAGGATCTACACGCAGGCTATGATAGGCTGAAGCTCAGAGCAATTTAAAAAAATTCAATTTTTTTAGTGTAATTTTTTTCATTTTTTACATTTAGCCCACCCGCTAATATTTAAATATAGTACAATTACTACTCAGCCCAGGGCCTCTCAAATTTCTGGATCCGTGCCTGCTTCAAAGTAATGATACCAAGTTTTTTTGATCATGAATCCAACTCTTATATTAAAATCATTAGGAAACGGATCGTTACAACTAACTCGAAAAGATCAATCCTGACAAAAACTCTCTCTAACCAACTATCGCAATCAACCCTGAAAGAGCAATACGAACCGCTAACCACCAAGCGGGTGTGACACAATAATCACTGACCATATACATCCTTCTAATGACATAATATCTAGTAGACTTAACAATCATTATTGTAAACCTAAAACTAAAGTCCTCAATAAAAAAAGAAACACTGTAAACAAACATAACACTAAAATAAGACCATAAAAAATAGAACAATTGACAAATACTCCAAACTTATTTCTGACGGTTTTCTTGAAATATCATCTTCCAAACCCCGACATCTCGACCAATCCAAGGAGGCGGTTCAAGAGGGGGACCAACCGCCGGTCTGTAATCTCCCTTTCTCAGAACCAAATCTGTCAACCCCTGATCCGTGGCTAGATTGCCAATACCCCTGCCTCTTGCTTGCTGCATCCTCTTGATGTACGATAAATCTGGAATATCACAAAAAGAATGACCGGAATCGGCCCCGCTCCTCGGCGCAAACCAATAGCGGACTAACGGCTCTAGCGGTAGCACTTGGCGGCAAACCCTAGAGAGAGAAAACCCGTTTCCGAATCCAACACCAACACCAAAGAATAACCGACCGAGGATGAGAGTCCACTTATGCTGCGCAAAAGACCGGAGCGCGGCGCCAATGATGAAAAAAATATGATATGAACTTAACTAATTCTGCTGATTTAATTATGAAAAAAATATTAAAAATATATTTTATCAATAAAATAAAGAAAAATTATATGAAAAACAATTACAATGATCATCTATAATAACTTCAGTCGATACAATCACACAAATAATTTTAATCTTAATTTTTCTTATTATCACAAGATTCAGCATGCGAAATAAAAAATTATATACTATCACTTGATTAAAAAGTTGACTGATAAGACAAAAAACATGGTCACCAAACCCGTTGTTAGAGTTCCATCTCCAATGGATAATTTTATCATTAACTTGGTTAATCATTTAGATAACAAGTTTAATTTAATAAAAATCTTTGTTAGAAAAAGAGGAATGGTTTTCTTAATGGTTCTTAATTAACGATCACATAAAATGTGTGGTTCAAAATGTAATTTTCAAAAATGAAGAATACTACTACTACATTTATATTGGTCCGAAAACTGATTTTCTATTTGCTGGTGTGTATCCTTCCAAACCCAAACCGCCTTTTCCTTTTTGAGTTCTTGCATGTTGCAACATCCACCAGCATTAAAGAATGCCCTAAAAACAGCCTTGAAAATCAATTTTCATTGTTTTTAAACTTCACTCATCTCTGTTCTCCGGAAAAGGCAACTGGTTTTCTTCTTCTCAGACATAAAGAATCCATCACCCCTTTCGAGCAAGATGGGTGTTCACCCTGGGCTAAAGCTTCCACCAGCTTTGCCCTTTCTGGGAATTTTTTCTTTACTTTTTCTACATGCAGTGTCTCAAGCCGGTAGTGATGGTGACGCTTCTGTCATGCTGGCTCTCAAAAAGAGCCTCAACCCACCACAAGAAATGGGCTGGTCCGACCCGGATCCCTGCAAGTGGAACCACGTGGGTTGCTCTGGCGAGAAGCGGGTCACCCGCATCCAAATCGGGCACCAGAACCTCCAAGGTACTCTCCCGCCGGAGCTCTCCAAGCTCACCCAGCTTGACCGCCTAGAGGTCCAGTGGAACAACATTTCCGGGCCGCTGCCCAGCTTGAATGGGTTGAGCTCGTTGCGAGTGCTAATGCTGAGTAACAATCACTTCACTTCAATTTCTGATGATTTCTTTTCTGGCCTCTCGTCCCTGCAATCTGTTGAGATTGATAACAACCCTTTTGCTTCGTGGCAGCTTCCTGAGAGCCTTCGAAACGCTTCCACCCTGCAAAATTTCTCCGCGAATTCCGCGAATTTAGCAGGGAAAATTCCAGGGTTTCTTGACCCGGATGGTTTTCCCGGGTTGACAAACTTGCATTTGGCTCTTAATAACCTAGAAGGTGAATTGCCTTCGGGCTTCTCAGGAATGTCGATTCAGTCTTTGTGGTTAAATGGGCAGAAGCTTAACGGGTCGATTGACGTTTTACAGAACATGACATTGTTGAAAGAGGTATGGTTGCATTCCAATGCATTTTCTGGCCCTTTGCCTGATTTTTCAGGTTTGAAGGACTTGCAAGTTTTGAGCCTTAGAGACAATTCCTTTACAGGCCCTGTTCCTTCATCCTTGTTGAACCTTGAGTCCTTGAAGGCTGTTAATTTAACTAATAATTTACTTCAAGGCCCCACTCCAAAGTTCAAAGACTCTGTTTCGGTTGACTTAGCTAAAAATACTAATAGCTTTTGTTTGCCACAGCCCGGTGATTGTGACTCTAGAGTAAATACATTAGTCTTGATAGCTAAAGCCGTTGACTTTCCAAGAAAATTTGCTGAGAATTGGAAGGGGAATGACCCCTGCGCGGATTGGTTTGGGATAACTTGCGAGAATGGGAATATCACTATTATTAACTTTCAGAACATGGGACTTAGCGGTACAATTTCACCAGAATTCGCTTCGCTTAACTCACTGCAAAGGCTAATCCTTGCTGACAATAATTTTACTGGTATTATTCCTTCAGAGCTCACTCGAATTGCCACCCTTACTAACTTGGATCTATCAAACAACCACCTCTATGGGAAAGTTCCATCTTTTAAGAATAATGTGATCGTTAAGACCAATGGAAACCCTGACATTGGTAAGGCTCAGAGTGACTCACATTCCCCAGGCTCAAATCCCCCGAATCCCTCAAATTCTGGTTCTGATGATGGGGAACATCTCCAAACATATCGCAAGAAATCAAAGAATTGGGTTGTGATTTTGGTTTCTGTGGTAGGCAGTGTCGTTGTTCTTGGTTTGTTGGGGATGTTGGTTTTCTGTATGTGCAAAAATGAGCAAACGCGTTCTAGCAGAGTGCAAAGTCCTCCTATTCCCATGGTCATTCATCCTCGCGGTTCTGGAGGTTCTGATAGTGTGAAGATTACAGTTGAAGGATCGAGTGCTAGTGTTGGCTCTGTTAGTGAGATGCATACGGTTTCCAATAACCAAACCACAGAGTTTCAAATGGGGGGTGAAGCTAGGAACTTAGTCATATCGATTCAGGTCCTAAAGAGTGTCACAAACAACTTTAGTGAAGATAGCATATTAGGCCGAGGGGGTTTCGGGACGGTCTATAAGGGAGAGCTACACGACGGGACAAAGATTGCTGTGAAAAGAATGGAGTGTGGGGTTATTGCCGGTAAGGGGCTGGCAGAGTTCAAATCAGAGATTTCTGTCTTGACAAAGGTTAGGCATCGCCACTTGGTTGCCCTACTAGGGTATTGCCTTGAAGAGAACGAGAAGCTTCTTGTCTATGAGTACATGCCCCAAGGGACTTTAAGCAGACACCTTTTCAATTGGGCGGAGGAGGAGGAAGGGCTTAAGCCGCTGGACTGGACGAAAAGGTTGACAATCGCGTTAGATGTTGCTAGGGGGGTGGAGTATCTGCATACATTAGCACACCAGAGTTTCATTCACAGGGACCTGAAGCCGTCTAACATTCTGCTTGGGGATGATATGAGGGCTAAGGTGTCAGATTTTGGTCTTGTTAGGCTTGCTCCTGAAGGGAAAGACTCCATCCAGACCAAGATTGCCGGAACTTTTGGATATCTGGCCCCAGAGTATGCAGGTATTTGTCTCTCTGTAATTATCATTAGGCAAATTCTTCGGTACCTTTTTTCGTACCTTGTCGACGTAGATCAATTATAATATTACAATTGGGTACAAGTGATGAAATAATGTTGTAGGTATAGTGCCCTCACTTTATTCGTGGAGTATGGTATTATTCACCCATTGTTATTATGCTTCGTTACCCTCGCCTTAGAAACTAAAAATCATAGTTGGGACTAGCTAGGGACTTTATAAGCCTTTAATTACAGCATATATCAAGGAAGGCCCACATTTTACATTCCTTACTAAGAGGGGTGGCCTTTTCCCTATATTTTAGGGGCTGCAATTTTTATAAATATACTACCTCTGTTCTTTATTAAGTGAGAGTGTAATATAGAGGGTGTAGGGAAATGAAAAAGTAGGAAAGTGGAGTATGTAAAATTGAAGTATTGAACAAATAGATTATGGTCGAAAGTTTCTGGTGATATTAATATACTAACTTCGAAGGATAAATCACAGTTCATTACGATGTTGATGTCTATTTTTCTTACTATGATATATTTTCCAGTGACAGGAAGAGTGACAACAAAGGTTGATGTATATAGTTTTGGAGTGATCTTGATGGAGCTGATCACAGGCAGGAAGGCTCTGGACGAGAGACAACCTGAGGAGAGCATGCACCTTGTGACGTGGTTCCGGAGAATGCATCTAACAGAGGCCACCTTCCGGAAGACAATAGACCCCAACATCGATTTCGACGAGGAAACACTTGCAAGCATACACACGGTTGCTGAGCTTGCTAGCCACTGCTGTGCGAGGGAGCCATACCAAAGGCCTGACATGGGTCACGCCGTTAACGTCCTTTCATCATTGGTAGAGTTTTGGAAGCCATCGGAGGAGAGCTCGGAGGATGTGTATGGCATTGACTTTGATATGTCTTTGCCTCAAGCTCTTAAGAAGTGGCAAGCATATGAAGAAGGTAGTATGAGCCGCATGGATTCCTCTACAGCATCTTCTTATGTTCCAAGTTTTGATAACACCCAAACGAGCATACCCGTCCGCCCTTTTGGGTTCGCAGAATCACTCACCTCAACCGATGGCAGGTGACCTACGTTTTGGTGGTTCATCCTCTTTCTTAGGCATATTCTCTCTCCCCTCGCCCGTGTTTTTCATAGAAACTGGTCCAATTGAAATTCTATGTGCAGTGGTTGAGAATCTGGATATTGTGTTGTGTAGGCGTTAGTTGATATTGTTTGTGGTGAGTGGTCCTCCTTAACTTGAGAACAAACATTATGAATGAATTTAGGAAAATGATTGGACTGGAACATCATCACTTGCACAACCTGGCAGGAAGTATTGGTTGGGGTTAATTGTTGATTTGCACATGAAAGTATCAAACCTTGCTGTGAATATAATACTCATAAGCAGTCTTGAATGTTTTTTTGTATATAATTTCCCGGCTCAAGGTAAAAAAAGATTGGCAATACTAATTCAAAGCATTGTTGACTTTTTCATCATGTTGCAATGCATAGAGTTACGATCAAATTGTGCTAACAAAGTTTGCTATTTGTATACACTTTTACACATACTCTTATACCCACCGTCTGTGAGAAGGCTTGCTCGTTCATGGACAAAAAAAAGCCTTTTCAGAGACGGTGGGTATAAGACTGTATAAATTATAAAAGTGTACAAACAATTTTTTTTCTCTGTGTCAACCCTCCAAGTTCCATCATTCAACAGCTCTGATACCTTTCTGTTCCATCATTCAACAGCATAGTAGCATCTTCGACTAATGGTAACAAGAAGCTATAGAACCCTTTTAAAAACCTGCGGCCCATCAAATGATCGGGTCATGAGTCAACAGAGACCTTGACTGGTCAACCCGGACATTGACTGGTCAACCAGTCAATACTGGGCCAATCTAATTAACATTAATAAAGTTTATAATAATATTTGTTCAGTTACTTATCAAATGAAAACCAAAAGTAATCAGTATTCACACAAAATATGACAATACTTGTCTATTGTTCTATATAATAAACTTGAGTTTAAAAAGAATGATGTGTCAGTTTTTGATTGGGTAATACAAAGTCTTTTATAACTACCACTAAAGCCAATTAATTCACGGTTCATTAGTCCCTTAACTCCCTACAATCGTGCCACTATTGTTCACTTGGACTCTTGGAGCAAAAAATCTCATTTTTAAAAAGGGATATGACTTTTGTATATATACTCCAATTTTTACAAAAAATATATCATAAATTATAATTTTTTATTATCTTTCATATCACACCAATATTGCATATGTAAAAAATAAAAAGTACATAGTATTATCTATCTATTGTTTTATATATTAATTAAAACGATCAATTAGATCTAAATAAAAAAGAGACGGTACACCTAATGAAAAAAAGAGAAAAAGTAGGAGAAAAAAGTGCATGGAGCAAAAGTGGGAGAAAAAAGTGCTAAAAATTACCGAGTAAACGACAAACTTCTTTAATATCTTTAATACGTAGGAGAAAAAAATCTTTAATACATTAAAACATTTAATAAATTTGGAAGGGTTAAGTTGGCAAAAAATACATAGAAGCTAGGGCTAATGGAAAAGACTTAAGAAAACATAGCAGAAAAAATGCAAAAAATATCTTTAATATCAATCATATTAAATTATTAATGGAATATAATTTTCAGAATAAATGCAATATCAATTCAATTTCCAAAAAAATCTTACAATACCAAATTCTTCTTTAAATAATGAGACTCTAATACACGTAATAGGACATTAATTATAAAAAATTACTAAAGAGTATTACACATTTAAAAGAGGCTCTAATTTTATATAGTAAACTTGAGTTAAAAAAATGATGTGTTAGCTTCTTATTGGATAATGCAAATTTTATTATCATTACAATTGAAACAATTAATTCATTCATTGTCCACACACTTAAAAATCATGCATTACGGCTGGCTTAGAGCAAAAGTAGGAGGAAAAATCTCTCTTTTTTAAAGTGATAAAACTTGTATATTTATAATCAAATTTTTATAAAAAAATATCAAAATTCACAACTTTTTAAAATATATAAAAAATATCTATTATTTTATAGAGGAAAATTGAGTTAAAAATTGTATTGATTAATAAATATTCTATTATGACTACTCCTAAAACATTTAATTCATATAAGTTGACTCGGTTCATCATTGTTCTTCATTACATGCATCACTGATCATTATGACAAAGGTAAGTAGAAAAAAATCGTATTTTAATGTATTATAACTTATTTATTTGTGCTCCAATTTTTACAAAAAAATACATCAAAATTTAAAACTTTTTATGACCTTTCATCTGACACAAATTTTGCAAAAAGTATACCAAAAACCATAAAGTTTTATGATCTTTCATATGACAACAAATTACATATAAAAAATATTGTAAATTTATAAGTTATAAATCAATGACATATTAAATTTATGGTGAAATTTGAGTTTAAATTTGCATGATAGGAAATGCACATGTACACAATAGTCGTGACACACATTATGAATCTAATTTTCATTATATATTTAAATCTATTGTATTATTTAGTAAAGCAGGGTTACAAACTGGTGACATATCACTATGTTATTGATTAACAAAAAATCTAATGTCATTATTATGAAAATATTTAATTAGTTCCAAACAAAAAAGAGATGGAATAGCTATAATTGAGACAAAGTAGGAGAAAAAAAGGTAAAAACCACATCCTTAGAAGCTATTATGTTACTCTTATTCTTATTCTTATTCTTATTCTAATTGTTTACTCCATATTACTTATTCTTATTTTATCCGGACAAGATCAGATAAAAAGTCAAATCAGATTAGCCCAAAACATTCAATCTAGATCAGATCAGAAAAATTTAAATAAGAAAGGTTTAGACATAATTTATTATTTTTACTATTATGATGATTCAAATCTAATCTAAATATTTTTGTAGGTTATTATTGTATGTTGCTTCTATTGAAATTAATTATGAATACTATTATTATTGTTATAGTCATTATTTGTATGTTATTATTATTCACAAAACATCATATATTTTTACTATGGTTATTATAAATAGTATTGGTGTAGGTTATTATAATTAAATAATATAGATTATTATTTAACTATATTATTATTAATGTATTTTTATTGTTATTGGTATTTATAAGTGACTATTATTATAAAAGATGCATGTTGTTGTCATGTATAATTTAATTATAATAGTAATACTACATATTATAATGGTATTTATAACACTTATTATAATGATAATCATAACAATAAAAATAAGGATAACTATAACGGTAATAAAATGATATTGTAATTATAGTTATTGTTAAAATTGGAATTGTAATTATAATTATAATTATAATTATAATTATAGTTATAATGATATTTATAACTATAAATATGATCCTCTAAAAAAACTATAAATAGGATGATAATAATGACAATGAAAATCATAAAAATAAATTTATAATACTAATAAACACTAAATTACATAATAAATATTTAGATCAGAATGATTCAGATTAGATCAAAATCAGAAAACTCATATCAGTTCAGAAAGATTCAAATCAGATCTGAAAGATTCATACCGCGGGATCATACAAGATTATCAGACTATATCGGAATAAAATCAGATTAGATCATACCAGATCTTAAAAATTTCAGATCATAAATATTCATACCTGGAGAATATAACAACTTCTTAGTATCAACCATATTAATGGATTATAATTCTCGGAATAAATACAATATCGATTCAGTTTCCAAAATAATTGTACAACATCAATTTTTTTTTTAAATAATGGGACTCTAAAACATTTAATATGACTCTAATAATAAGAAATTAATCTTAGACATTTGAGTGAGGCTCTAATTCAAGATCAAATTTTTAAATAACGGAACTTTAGTTCAAGTGAACAGGACTCTAATCGCACAACACCAATCATACACGTTAATATCCAAAATAATTTAAAATTGTAAGCTCCACATATTCCCAATTCCAATTCAACACTTCTTATAATCATGCTCATCATATAATTAGTCTTATAAATAATTAATAACTATTACAATACTAAGCACATAAATTACAATATAACCCCAAATTCATACTCCAAAAGATGGTGATTCATCACCCATATTCCATGGTGGTGGTTAGTTCATACTACCTTCGTCCCTCTTTATTTAGTCATATTTGACTTTTCCACTCAAAGATGATAAACTGTAATATATTATTTTAACTAATATATTTATGTGAAACTTAATAAATTTATATTTTTATGAGCAGGAAGTTTTAACAAATTTTTTATATATCATTTTCATATTATCAATACTATTATATACAAATATATAATCGGTCAAAGCTCAACACCATTGACTTAAAAAATAATGTTTGGTTAAATATAAAGAGACAAAAGGAGTAAAAGAAATCGATTATAGCCAAAATTTTGATTATATCATATGAATAATTCACAATGCTTATCAGTATATGTCACCTCATCACCCATATCAAATTAACACTACCAGGACATGCCCCGGGTATTACACTAGTTAAGCATTGAAAACACAGTCATATTCAAGTCAACAATGTTAATTAT